GCACACATAGCATGGCACGCGTGCCACGTCTTAGTTACATTTCTACTGACCAAGGCAATTTATAAAAGCAGTGCTTAGAGGTTGGAGAGAGGTCTCGGGTGGTTAAGAGCACTTGTTCATCCAGGGGACCCGGTTCAATTACCAGCTTGCCAGCACCCACACAGTGGCTCACAACTGTCTGTAACTCCAGTTTCAGTGGATCCAACCCTTTCTTCTGGTCTCCAGGCACACATGTGGTGGGCTGATATACTTGCAGACAAGACACCAACACACATAGAAAACAAAAGTAAATAAATCCTTTTTAAAAAACAACAAAAACAGCCGGGCGTTGGTGGCGCACGCCTTTAATCCCAGCACTCGGGAGGCTGAGGCAGGCGGATCTCTGTGAGTTCGAGGCCAGGCTGGACCGACAGCCTCCAAAGCAAAGAAACCCTGTCTCGTAAAACCAAAAAAAAAAAAAAAAAAAACAACAACAACAAAAACAAATAAGCACTTAATCTGGTTTATGGTTTCAGAGGTTTACAGTCCATGATGACAGAGCAAAGGAATATTGGAGAGCTCACAACCACCAGGCAGAGAGAAAGAGCACTGGGAATCATAAGAGTCTTTAGAAACCTCCAAGCCCACCTCCTACAAAGCCACACCTCCTAATCCTTCCAAAACAGTTCCACCAACCCACGATCAACTATTCAAATACAGGAGCCTGGAGGGGCCATTCTCATTCAAACCACCACATGCCTTTACATACACACAACAAAGAAGGAAATAAAGCTAAAGACAATGAGAGAGCAACTGGGTGCTGTCCACAGTAACAGAACAAAGGTTCTGGAGCACAGGGGAACAGGAAGGAGAGACCCAGAGGTACACGGGTGGCTTCTCCTTTAACCTGGTAGAGTCAGCTGACTGACAAACCCTAGAGCAGGGTTGGGTTTCTCCATCAGTGAGGCAGGGGCCAAGTCTGTGAAACAAGAACTCAGAACTGAGAACTGGGGATGCAGCTCCGAACCACATCATTTGCCCAGCAGGCTCCTGGCCGCCCTTGATCCATCCCCAGCACAGAAGGGAAGTTTCTGGCTTACCAATGATTTGTGAAGCCATGGAAGAGAACAAACCCCACTTGTACAGTCTCTGTACCAACCTTGGAGAAGGAGGAACAAGCTACTGAGCCCTGAGGCCCAGAAATCTGCTTCTACCCACACGATTTTTATGGATAAGATGTCCAAAGAGCCAACAAGATAGCATAGCAGACAACGTCACTTGCCACCCAGCCCAAAGACCTGAATTCAATCTCTGGGACCCACATCAAAAGAGAACCAACCTCAACAAGCTGTTCTCTGACATCCACAGCTGCATGCCATAGCACGCAAGCACATCGCACACAACATAAACACGCACAGACACACACGCAAATAAATAAATGTTCTTTATTATTATTTTTGTTGTTGTTGTTGTTGTTGTTTTGGTTTTTTGAGACAGGGTTTCTCTGTATTGTTTTGGAGACTGTCCTGGAACTCGCTCTGTAGACCAGGCTGGCCTTGAACTCACAGAGATCCGCCTGCCTCTGCCTCCCAAGTGCTGGGATTAAAGGTGTGCGCCACCAACGCCCGGCTTATTATTACTATTTTTAATGTTTGAAAACCACAGATCAGCCTTTAATCCCAGCACTCGGGAGGCAGAGGCAGGCGGATCTCTGAGTTCGAGGCCGGGCTGGACCAACAGCCTCAAAAACAATACAGAGAAGCCCTGTCTCATAAAAACCAAAAAAAGAAAAAAAGAAAAGAAAACCACAGATCCAGAGAGTCAGTGTCGACAAGAAGATGCACTGGAAGGGTCTGAGGGAAGCTGAAGCTGAGGCCGGAACGAAGCCAGAGTTGGAGAGAATGGCCGAGGAGCCTGGTGTCAAGATGAGAAAGCACGAGAGCATGGCAAGCACTGAGAAGGAATCAAGCGAGGTCAGCGCCAGGCCAGCCAGGGGAGGCGCATGCAAACGGAGAATCCCCAAAGAGAAGGGACCCGGGAGCCTGGTAGCCCGGGGGAGACAGGGGCTGTGTGCCTGAATGTCAAGCTCCAGGCAGTTGTTTCTCAGCAGCCTGGGGTGTCCTTACATGTGCTCCCCTTGCTAGTACCAACTTGAGGGGTCTGTCTCCGTCTCCTCTGTGTGCCCCCTTTGGCTCCTCCCACCCCCTTCTTCCCTCTTTCCATCCCCTAATCAAAAAGGACTCCAGATGTCCTTTTTTTTTTTTTTTTGGAGGGTGGGTATTTTGTTTTTCGAGGCAGCTTTTCTCTGTGCAGCTTTGGAGCCTGTCCTGGAACTAGCTCTATAGACCAGGCTGGCCTTGAACTCACAGAGATCCACCTGCCTCTGCCTCCTGAGTGCTGGGATTAAAGGCGTGCGCCACCACCGCCCAGCCAGACATTCTTTCTTTCATTGTAAATCGGTGCATTTTCATTTGTAACTTAACAGTTATGGCCCAGTACCTCCACAGTTTAAAGAGACGCATTTGGTGTGCCGTTCTGCAGGCGCTCGGTGTGTTCTGCTGAAGGTCTCCAAGTGCATGGAGCATACACAAAATAAAGACAGCACATGGCAGACAGGACACCAAAAAGTAACTGAGAAGCCGGGTGGTGGTGCACGCCTTGAATCCCAGCACTTGGGAGGCAGAGGCAGGCGGATCTCTGTGAGTTCGAGACCAGCCTGGTCTACAAAGTGAGTTCCAGGAAAGCCTCCAAAACAATACAGAGAAACCCTGCCTCGAAAAACCAAAAAAAAAAAAAAAAAAAAAAAAATCTTTTCGAAAAGAAAAGATTCAGGATGCCAGGCGCCTACCTGTGGTCCCAGCATCTGGAAAGTAGGTGTTGCAGGGTCAAGCCTTCAAAGCCTCAGCTACATACTGTGTTTAAAGCCAGCCCTGAGCCACAGGAGACTCTTCCTCACAACTAATTAATTAATTGATAACAGTGCCAGACGTGGTGGCTCACACCTGTAATCTCACCGCTCAAGAGGTCAAGGCCATCCTCTAGGACACATGCCTGTGATCGCAGCACCTTGGAGGGTCTGGAGCTCAAGGTCATCCTCTGCCACACTGCAGGTCAGAGACCACCCTGGGTTACATGCGACACCGCCTAAAAAATATTAATGTATAATAAAAACAGGGCCAATCACGGTGACGCCTTTAATCTCAAGACTTGGGAAGCTGAGGCAGGCAGATCTCTGAGTTCAAGGTCAGCCTGATCTACCTATTGAGTACCAGGTCAGCTGTTATTTTTGAGACAAGGACTCGAGGTTAAGGATGACCACCTCCCAAGTGTTGGGATTACAGATGTGCACCACCATGCCTGACTCTGCCTACAATAACTTGACTAGCAAACAAGTGTACCAAGATTTCAACTCAGAAGGAACTGAAACCAGAAGCTGTGGCCAATGCACACTACTATAGTGCCTCTAGGTGCGACAAGGTCTAGAGAGCCTAACTGTTAACTATGAAAAAGACCTTTGGTGATAACAGCCCTAAAATCTGGGGGACTTTCCAGGAGTCCACCATCATCCTAGCCAACATCCTTCTCTGCTATTCTTCAAAATAAAAGTCCTTGCAGGCTGGACCCTGTTCTCAGGCAGCTCTCAGCCTTTCACAAGTGGTTGTTACACCACAGCCCTGAACTAAAAGAGGAAAAAGAAACCAGTTCCCCCAATGGCTTAACTCAAAACGAAAGGCGTGCCATGCCAGGGCTGAAAACGGAGGTCAAGCGTGCTCTCAAGTAGGGGAACCGCTGCAGCGGCAACTCTTCAAACATGTAGCAAGGAACGACGGTGCCTATTTCTCCTTTAAAGACGACAACCTCTCAAGGTATTCCGCACGTGAAATAAAAGGAGTCCAGAGCAGAGGAGAATGAAGCATGATGGCCATAAGATAGCAACCCCACCCCATCGCCACCATGGGCACACCTCCCTGAGGGCAGTTCCAGCCAGTCCTGTTTCTGTAAGAATGCACTGACAGAGGAAACCCGGATGGATGGTCAGTGAACTAGAAGTGGCTGCTAATGAGGTCTTTTGCATCTCCACATAATCACTTGTAAATATATCGACATTTATAGCATTATTCAAAACCGTCTGTCAGTCAATCTCAACTCTACTACCCCTTTAAAAAACAAATAAACGGGGGCTGGGGTGCAGCTCCATGGTAAGGCGCTTGCTAACGTGCTCCATCCCCAGGACCAGAAGGAAGACACCTAGAGGTTGGGTGAGACCGAGATGACTGTCCCTCCGGTTGTATCCTAGCCTTAGGGGCAGGAATCACAATCACGCGAAGTCATGCAGACTCCTCAACCTCACTTGAGATATTGTAGCCAGGACACTTAGCCTCCACCTCCTAGAAAGCCCCTCAAAGCCCGGCCAGTAGCTGGAGGAGTCTCCTAGGGCCCCCAGCCCCCTCCGGCCACTCCCACAAGTCCACTCGCAGGAGAAGAGAGATTTTCATGCACCCCTCCACCGGGTGCCTTCTGCTCCCCTATGACAGACCTTGGTTTCACCTGTCGCAAATGGAAATGGTTGATGGAGATCACGTCAAACCCCCCTCTGCTCTCAATTTCTAATCCTTCGCTCTCCACGAGCTCGTGCCTTTGGGAAACAGACATCCCGTGACCATCCCCTTACCGATCCTGGTAATTTTTAGCAAAGTGTGAGGTGTCCAGAACCGATAAGCAGGCTGTTGCTTCCCAGTGTCATTAAACCCGATCATCAACGTGGGTTCCTCCGCGGCCTTTTCCATCAATCCCACAATCCCATGAAGAAGGAAGAAAGAGAAAAAAAAAAAAAAAAAAAGACCTTCCATGCCCCTCCCAGCCTCTAAACTCAAAGGTGTCTGGCCTTCCATTCAAGGGGGTTGCGGTGGGGGGGGGGACCGACCGCCAGCATCTCCCGCGTCCCCGGCCAGGCCGAGCAGGTGCTGGGGCGGCCGCGGCACCCGCCACCCAGCTCCCTCCCCGGGGCACCGCTTACTCACGCGCAGTCCTGGGCGGCGGCGCGGGGCCGGGAACACCACGGAGTTTGCTGACTCAAGGCGCGGCGGCGGCGGCGGCGAGCGCCCAGGAGCGCACCCGAGGAGCGCAGCCCCGCGTCCGGCGCACGCAGAGCCCGCCCCGCCCTGCGCGCCCGCTGCCCCCGCCCCGCGCCGCTGTCAGCCTCCTACGGCAACGTGGGAGCGGCCACCCAGCCCGAGGGTCTTTCTCTCCACCCAGCAGTGAGGGATGGGGGAGGCCGGGAACAGCATGACTCGGTGTTACCGCGGGATCTCCATGGAGGGCGTGTGGCTGTTTGCTATAAAAATACTTTTAACTTCTCTGTAATTTCTTTTCTTTTTTAATTTCTTCTTTTTCATGAACTATGAGGAGAAAGCTATGCAACCTGCCAAAGGTACGCGCACATTTCCTAAATACCATCTTGAGCTGGATCTCACCCACCTGTGTGCATGGAACACCTAAATGGTTCGGACTGGGAAGGTGGCCCAGGTTTAAGAGCACTTTTTGCCCTTTCAGAGAACCTCGTTCCCAATAAACACACACACACACACACACACACACGCATGCACACACACACACACACACACACACACGGCAGCTCACAACTGCCTGTAACTCCATTTCACCACCCTCTTCTGTCCAGTCACCACGTGGTGGTGCACAGACACACGTACAAGCCGACAAAATACTCATAAAATAACATGAATAAATCTAAAGACAGAAAAACTCGGTGATGAAAGTGTTAGTGCATCCTTTGAATCTGGGACCACCCAGGATCTTCCTGGAAATGTTGTCTGTTTCTGTATTCCACAGTTACACTGACATTCTCAACAAAACTTATCAAAATGCAGTGTCTTATCTTGATCTTGTATCTGAGTCCTGAATCCTTGGTATTTGATGATCTAAATTGCAACCAAGCTGTGATGTATGTGTGGTTGTTCCAAAGAAAATGGCCCCGAAAGGCAGCCACACTGTTAGGAAATGTTACTTTGTTGGAGTAGGTGTGATCTTGTTGGAGGAAAAGTGTCACCGTGGAGGCAGGCTTTGAGGTCTCATATATGCTCAAGATACTGCCGAGCGTCTCAGACCACTTCCTGTTGCTTTCAGGTCAAAATGTAAGAAACCTCAGCTCCTTCTCCAGCACCACATCTGCCTGAACGCTCTCTTACTTCCTTCCCACCATGATGATAATTGCCTGAACCTCTGAAATGTAAGCCACCCCCATTAAATGTTTTCTTGATAAGAATTGTTATGGTCGTGATGTCTCTTCACAGCAATAGAAACACTAAGATAATATGTGACCATCAATTTTTTTTCAATTTTTGTTTGTTTAACCTTCAAATCCTTGTCTGAGTAACATCCACTACCTAAAAAACAAAATGCAGCATGTCTAAGATCTGAGTGTCCAGACTAGTCAAGAACCTGACTTCTGACTTCCAAGTTTGCTGGAGCTCACTGTGTAGACAAGGCTGGCCTGGGGCACACTGCAATCATCCAGCCTTTCCCCCCAAGTACTGGGATTACAAGTACAGATGTTCTCCAGGACACAACATCTAGCTTGGCATTGGTGGTACACACCTTTAATCCCAGCGCTCGGGAAGCAGAGGCAGGCAGATCTCTGTGAGTTCGAGACCAACCTGGTCTACAAAGTTCCAGGACAACCTCCAAAGCAATACAGAGAAACCCTGGCTCAGAAAAAAACAAAAACAAAAAAACACAACATCTAAGAGTCTGACTTTTTTTTTTTTTTTTGGTTTTTTACGAGACAGGGATTCTCTGTATTGTTTTGGAGGCTGTCGGTCTAGCCTGGCCTCGAACTCACAGAGATCCGCCTGCCTCTGCCTCCCAAGTGCTGGGATTAAAGGCGTGCGCCACCAACGCCCAGCTGAGTCTGACTTTTTTTTTAAGATTTATTTATTTAATGTGTATACAGCATTTGTTGTGCCCAAATTCTGAACCCCAAAATCACCAAGAGGCCCATTTCCATGCAAAAGCAAAGAGTCTTATTGTAGATGTTTAACGAGCTAACCCCATTAGCTCGGGCTCTTCATTCCACCACCAAGGCAAATGGCTGGAGAAAGACCCCAAGCAACCTTGAGGCAGGGACCTTAAAGAGCAGCGTAAGGGGAGTGTCTAGGGGTATGAAACAGTCTCAGGATTGGTGCACTTCCAGGTTTGGGTGACCCGCCCTGTGTTGATTGGTCAACTGGTTGTTATGGCCCATTGGTCCTCCCAGGGCGGTTGCTATGTTCTGCACGTCACTATTGTGCACTGTCCATAAAGCACACCCAGAGCCGTAAAGCACAGCCCTGCCAGCTAACTTCTGATTGGTTCCTTGCCACGAGGAGGGCATCTGACCTTAGTGACCAGGACAGGAGCAGCAAGGTCATACAAGCACATGTTAGCCTGTAATGGCTGCTAAAATGGGGGACTGGTCACTACACATTCTGCCTGTGTGTGTGCCTGCATGCCAAAGAGGGCACCAGATTTCATTACAGATGGCTGTGAGCCAACCTGTGGTGCTGGAATTGAATGCAGGACCTCTGGAAGAGCATCCAGTGCTCTTAACCACTGAGCCATCTCTCCAGCCCCAAGCCTGACTTTTCAACTCTGAACAGAGCCAAAAGCAACCTTTCCAGTATCTACTGTTAGAGTCATGGCCCAGAGAAAGGAAGAATATGAAAATAATGCAAAATAGAAAGAAGCTACAATTGACAAGGCATAATGGTACTTGCCTATAATTCTAAATGCTGAGATTTCTTCAAATTCACACCACTACACTCAGGTTTTCTTTGCTTATTTTATTTTTTTCCTCCTTGAGATAGGTCTTCACAATATAGCCCAGTAAGGCCTTGAACTTACCACACATCTGCCTCCCGTGTGCTGAGTGGTATAATTACAAACATTTGTCACCTAACTGATAAGAGCACTTAGAGGCGGTGGTGGCGCATGCCTTTAATCCCAGCACTCGGGAGGCAGAGGCAGGCGGATCTCTGTGAGTTCAAGGCTGGGCTGGACCGATAGCCTCCAAAACAATACAGAGAAACCCTGTCTCGAAAAACCAAAAAAAAAAAGAGCACTTAGCTGTGTGGTAGAGGACCCAGATTCAGTCCCAGCACACACATCAGGTGACTCACAGCCATTTTAGGCAGCAATGCAAACGCAGTACATATACATATGTGCATGTAAAATATTCATACACATAAAATAAACAAATCTTGTTTTTCCCACAGGGTTTCTCTGTGTCTTTGGAGACAGTCCTAGAACTAGCTCATGTAGTCTAGCTCATGTAGGCTGGTCTCAAACATACAGCGATCTGCCTGCCTCTGCCTCCAGAGTGCTGGGATTAGAGGTGTGCGCCACAACTGCCCAGCAAAATAAACAAATCTTAAAATTAATAAAAGTTTGTTTGGTCTAATTTGGCATTAAGGTAACCCCCCCACAAAAGAATCATAATTTATGATCTGAATTCAAGGAAATGTCACCACCAAGCTCAGGTTGTTCTGTCTGTTAGTATAATTTTTTTGGGGGGGGGGTTTCTCTGTGGCTTTGGAGGCTGTCCTGGAACTCACTTGGTAGTCCAGGCTGGTTTCGAACTCACAGAGATCTGCCTGCCTCTGCCTCCCGAGTGCTGGGATTAAAGGCGTGCGCCACCAACGCCCGGCTTAGTATAATTTTATCCTCTAACCTCTTACATCTCCTTGCTAATTGTACTGGGATGCATAACAAAAGGGATCTTCAATCTGCCTCTCACTGGGCGTTTTTTCTGTCTCTGAAGAATTGCAAAATCCTCAGGGAAGCAAAAATGAAAATTGGCCTGATATGATAGTGGACGCCTTTAATGCTACTACTGGGGAGGCAGAGGCAAGCAGATCTCTATGAGTTCAAGGCCAGCCTGGTCTACACAGTGAGCTTTAGACCACCCAAAGCTACATAGTGAGACCCTATCTCAAACAAATTAACAAAAGCCTCATCCCCAGGGGGATGGAGAGATGGCTCAGAGGTTAAGAGCACTGGTTGCTCTTCCACATGTTCTGAGTTCAATTCCCAGCAACCACATGGTGGCCCTTTCTCACATAAAGTTGCATATGCAGATAGAGTACTCATATACATAAAGTAGATCAATAAATCTTAAAAAAAAAAAGCCTCGAATTCACAGATCCACCTTCCTCTGGAGTGCTAGGATTAAAGGTGTGAGCCACCACTGCCTGGCTCATCTCCAGGTTTCTTTTTTTTTTTTTTTTTGGTTTTTCGAGACAGGGTTTCTCTGTGGCTTTGGAGGCTGTCCTGGAACTCGCTTTGTAGACCAGGCTGGCCTCGAACTCACAGAGATCCACCTGCCTCTGCCTCCCGAGTGCTGGGATTAAAGGCGTGCACCACCAATACCCGGCTCATCTCCAGGTTTCTTACAACACAATTTTAACCAGCATCACTGCCATGTGCTCTATACAGACACAGTTTTTTATGTTTTGTTTTGTAAATTTTGAGTTCTTCCTAGATCCTTCTCACACCCACTCAACTTTGTGTCTTCTTTTTTAAAAATATTTTTATAGGTGGGCAGTGGTGGCACACATCTCTAATCCCTGCATTTAGGAGCAGAGGCAGATGGATTTCTGTGAGTTCAAGGCCAGCCTAGTCTACAAAACTAGTTCTACAACAGCTAGGGCTACACAGAGAAACCCTATCTTGAAAAACCAAATACATATATATGTGTGTGTGTATGTTGTGCATGTATGTATGTATATGTATATTTGTATGCTTACAACATTTACATACGTAGACATGTATTTAATATGCATGTGGGACTCCAGAGGACAGCTGCACGAGGCAGGTCTTTCCTTCTGCAATGTGGGTCCTGGGAATCTGTCTCAGGCCCTCAGATTTGGTGGCAGGCACTTTCAGCTGCTGAGCCATCTCAGCTCATGTTTTTGTTTTTGTTTTTCTGAAACAAGATTTCTCTGTAGCTTTGGAGGCTGTCCTGGAACTCACTCTGTAGACAAAGCTGGTCTCGAACTCACAGAGATCTGCCTGCCTCTGCGTCTGGAGTGCTGGGATTAAAGGTGTGTGCCACCACCACCCAGCCA